GCCCCGAGCTGCTCGACTCGACGTTCCCGGTGCTCTGCGACACCCTCGACTGCGCACGCGCAGAGCCACGCGTGCCGACCGAGACCGAGCCGCGCGTGCCCGTCGAGCGCGTGTGCGTGTTAGTGTTGCTCGTCGAGTGCGTATGGGAGTGCGAGGACGCGCTCGCGCCGCGGGCGGGGCGACGGAATTGGAAGGGGTACCGCGACGTGACGGGCTGCCCGAGGCTCGACATGGAGCCGGACGCGCGGCCGGAGGACGGCTCTTCGCTGCCAGGAAGCTCTCCCTCTTCGTCCTCCTCCTCTTCTTCGTCATCCTCCTCCAACTCCTCGTCGTCGTCGTCGTCTTCATCCTCTTCGTCTTCCTCCAACTCTTCCCCATCCTCCGCCTCCTCCAAACTCCCACTCCCACTCGTCTCCTCCGGCTCCAGCGGCCCAGGCGACGGCGGGAACGGTACCCGATCCCGGCTCGACACCTGCGCCGACGGCCCCGTAAACGGATACACCACCTTTTCACGGTCCCTCGACGAGCGCTTCGCGACCTGCAAAAACCATCCGTCAGTTTCTTTATTTCCTTTCCCTTCCCCCGCCGAAGCGAACGAAACACGTACCTTCGGGATTTCCCCAATCGGTGACTCAAACAGCTCCCCAGTCAACGCCCCCCGCTTCGCCGTTGTCGGCGGCGCAGTCGCCATCGGGAACCCAATCGCCGCCATCACTTGCTCCATCCCCTCAAACTCCGGCGCAGGCGTCAGCGGCCCCGCGCCCAGCAGCTCGCTCGTGTCCGCCTCCGCCCCCTCGCGCTTCCTGTGCCCCCCGCCGCCCACACCACTAGGCGGGCGATTCACACAGAACTCGTACGTGCGCCGCACGCGGCGCGCGGTGTCCTCGCGCCACTGCCACGGGAGCGGGTCCGTGTCGGAAAGGTCGTCGGCGTAGAGCGCGGTGGATTTCTCCGTCGCAGCTTCTTCCCAGCGGTGGCGCGGGCCGCAGAGGCCCGCGCAGGGGGCGCCGGAGAAGAACCAGAGGCCGAGCCTGGTGGGGCGGGCAGGTGAGCAAGGCACACGAAACACGACGGAAAGGGAAAGAGAAAGAGAAGAGACGCGACTCACCACCCCGCCAAACAGACGAGCGCGCGCCACGCAGCCCAGGCCGCGTTGGCACTGAGAACGCCCCGCGCGTAGTCCGTCAGCGCGCCGTTCGCGTGGAAGAACGTCGCGTCGCGCAGGGAGGGCGAGGGCTGCGAGAAGGGAATTTAGTTAGTTCAAGAATCAGAACTAGGGGATACAAGAAAAGAAGGGAACGGCGAATCATCGTTCTTCGCACAGGACGGAGGGATGCAGGCTACCAAGACGACGAGGCGGGGCCCATACACCACACTCGACAGGAACAAGCTCCTTCCTCCCCTCCACCCCACCCCACCCCACCCCCCATCCAAGTCCAAAAAAACCACTCACCGCCCCCCCATCCTGGCCCTGCCCCGCACTCGCCCCCCAAAACCCAAACAGCACCACCAAACAGATCCCCGCGCGCGGCAGCAGCAGCGCGACCGTCGGCACGTTCTGCGCGTACCGCGCGCTGCTCTCCGCGAGGAACACGCGCCACCGCGTCTGCGCGCTTGGCGTGCCGAAGGCGGGAAGGACGTCTCTGCAGCGTAACACGTTATTAGTACTCGTGGTACATTTGCGATGAAGGAGTAGTTAGTACACACCCCGACGCATTAACAGCCGTCGCGCTGCTGTACCCGCGCCCATGTGCCGCCTTGGGGTTGGGGTTGTCGCTCTCTGATCGCTCGTGCGCTTGCGTGGTGTTGTACCCAGCTACGCTCTAAAATAAACGCTCATGATTAGCGCTCAACGAATGGAAAACGCGAGAGAGAAAGTCGTGGCGGGGGAGGTAAAATGCAAAATGCACCGTGGAAAGGGAAGGGGAAGCACAAGCACAAAATCACGAGTGTGGAGTATGGAGTATGAATGAAGAACCAAGAATACACAAGCAAAGCAAGGCAGGTATGTAGAAAAGTGACAGAAACATGAAGTACAAAATAACCGATAAAACGAAGGAAGGGCAAGGGACGGTACGAATAATATTGCAAGACAGAGCCACTGGCCGAAAGACGGACGGGTGCGAATATCATATCAGAAAGCAAAGGAGACGCACACACCTCAAACAACGCGCCCCACCGCAACCGCTGCATGAAGCAAAAGTTCGTATACGACGTCATCCCCACGAGCGCGGAGCCCGGCGCGGAGAGGTACAGCGCGAGCATCGGGGGGCGTTCTAGAGGAGGGAGGGACCAGTCAGCGTGCGTTCGTCGTGAGATGAGGAAAGAAGGTAGGTGGAAGGTGGAAAGGCGACGCGAACGCCCAAGACAAAGACGGCGAGGCGCGCGAAACCGAAACCGAAAACGAGACGCAAGCAAAGCGGGAAAATGTAGCAAAGGTCGCGAGACAGGACACAAGCCGCAAGTGAGCGACGGGACACGAAACCGAGCAATGCAATGCAGAGCCAAAGCGCAGACAGACGAGATATATTCGTGAGACCGTGCCAGCAAGGGCGAAACCGAGCGGCAACGCGCGAAACCGAGCTACCAGCAGACTCGCTCGAAACTCCCAAAGCGCAGTCGTCCAAGAGCACCCACGGAAGAAAGGACGAAATCGAGTTACACCCGGCAGACTCGCTGTAACCGCCCAAAAGCGTAATTGTCCAAGATCACCCACAAAGGAAAGGAGTATGAAATCGAGAAACGCCGCCACCTCCACTCCAAAGTCCCAAAACTCGAAAAATCCAAACCCAAAAAAAGGCTTCGAAAAATCACCCAGACACGAACAAGATAAAAAGGAAAGCAAGAAGACGACACTTACTCGCCCGCCACCTACGCACAAAGGAATAGACGAGCTCGTACACAAGGACGACGGCGCCGAGCCAGAGGGCCCAGCACGCGATGTAGGCGGCTGCTGCCAAGGTCCAGTTGTGCCGGGAATTGGTTGGGCCGGGGTGGAGCGCGATCCTAAAAAAAAATTACTTGGTCAGTTCTGGGATATATAAAAATATCCAGGGCCGCAGGGCAACACGTGGAGGGAGATAGGTGCAGGGACATGGGATTAGATAGTATGGGATGAGATGGGCAGAAGCGCATAGGATAAGATGGGATGGAACGCACTGGATGATCACAAACACGGCGTTAAAGTCGAGAAACGTCTGCAGCGGGATGTGCGCGAGGATGAGCAGTGGCCAGAGGACAAAGTACAAGCGCATCCAGGGGGACGGGGCCCGCTACGCGCGCCAAATCAAAATGAGCAACCGAATAGAAAAAACATAGAGAGAAGAAGGCGTAACGTACAAGCAACTCAAGCTGCAGCCCCCTTGCGCGGAAGCGTGCCTTTGCGTCTGCGGCCTTTTCCCTCTCCGCCATGATGGTGACCGGCAACGGGGTGCCCATCCCGCGACTCCACACCCTCGGCGCGACGGTGGTGAGGTCGGTGGCCTCCCGCCCGAGCCGAGCCTGCTCGTTATCCTGCTGCAGAGACACGATGCGCACGCTCCGCGGGGTGGCCTTCCTCCCCCCTACGGGCGGCGGCGGTTCGCTCGCTCCACTCGGGCCCGCATCCGGCCCAGGCGTGGCAGGCGGGACGTCGCGCTCCGAGTGGAAGGTGCTCGCCGGGGCGGGGTGCAGCGGGCGCTTCGGCAGCCAGCTCGGATATCCTTCAGAATTAGTGCTCATTCTCCTCCTCTGGCTGTTGTTGTCCGGCGACGATCCAGAGGACGGTTCCGCGTTGGTATGGTCCGAGTCGGGCACGTGCTGCAGTTGTTCCAAGAGGCTCTCGACGCCCGCAAGTGAAGATTCGTTCGTCGGCGTATCTGCTTGTCGTGACATGGCGTGTTAGTGAGTTATGTTGAAGTTATCGTTGCAAAGGCGCGTGGTCGTTCGTGGCGGTGGCGAAGACGCGACTCTACGCAAGGCAGCTATTCTCGGATAGCGGGGACGGTAGCCTCGTGTATGATGCGTGCGCCTCGTGTCCGTCTTGCGCGAAAAGGCACAAGAACAAGGCCACCCACAAAACAACCGAAAACAAGACACGAAAAATGCCCATCAACGAACCTTGATCCCCACTTTGATCCCGCACGCTCAGGGTCCTAGCGAGATAACGAAAGGCCCCGGTGGAATGGAATGGAATGGAATGGAAACGAGTGTGAATGAACGAAAGAAAGATTGCACTGAAGGCAATAAGTAGCTCGGTAGAGACAGAGATAGATGATTGTGGTGGTGTGAGAGTGAGAACAGAGAAAATACTCCCGCCCCGAGTTGGTTGGTTGCTAGGTTATTTTTAATTATACCTCCGCGGAAGGGCGTCAATTTGCCAGGAACGGGAAGAGAGATACTTATCCATCTACGTAAAGCGGTAATGCAATTAAATGCAATCCAGCGCTTTGTCCACATCGAGCGCCCTCTGCTCCTCGAGCTCGAGCGCGTCTCAGGTGATGCTCATGCGCATGCAGAACACACGCGTCGCTCGCTGATTCCCGCTGTCATTTAAAATTCAATTCAACTAGTACACGCGCACACGTGATACGAACCCGAGTCGTGCGTCACTACGCGTGTGCACGATTGGGGTGCACTGCTAGCAAACCTACGAAATACCCATAACAATCGGACATAGTGTACGGAACACTGTCAGCTCTCTTCAGCTTGAAAGTCCTGTTGCTGGCCGACCGGGGTTCGACTCCCCGTGTCCGAATGTGCTCGAGCTCAGAAGTCTCTTTTTCTTCCTCTCTAGTAAACGAAAAACTCTTTGCGCACAGTTCGACCATTGGATGGAATACCTAAAGTACAGCTCATCCCATCTACCACCTTCCCAAAGGAAAAAAAAGCAATCCCAGGCAATCTAGATACTATTCAGTTTCTTTTCCACCCCACCCTCCCTTCTTTGACTTGCCGAATTTCATCTTCAATAATTCAATTTCGGCTCCAGTTGTGCCCGGTTTAAACCAAGGGTACATTAATCGGACATGGTGTATGGAATACTGCTGGCCCCTCTTCCGAGTTCCAGGTGCATAGACTAGTGACCGGCAGACCGGGGTTCGACTCCCCGTGTCCGAATAATTGGTTTCTTGATCTTTTTCTATTTTCTTCTACTAAACTAAACTTCTTTGCCCACAGATCGAACATCGCCTGTAAAACACTGCTCATCTCATCTCGTCTCTAAACCCCAGGCAGGCTGAGATCACTCCCATTGCCCCTTCTTTCAGAATCTCGTCTTAAATTTAGGGTCCAGTTGTGCCCTTTCACTCAGGGGTACATGGTACGAACCAAAGTATATCAATCGGACATGGTGTACGGAACACTGCCAGCCCTTTTCGGCGGTTACAAATATTAAGTTGCTGGCCGACCGGGGTTCGACTCCCCGTGTCCGAATCTGCATTGTATGTTGCCTTTTTTTTTCTAGTACACTTCTTTGCGCATCCAACGTTGCCAATCAAATACTTACAGCTCATCTCATCTACCACCATCCAAAAGCAAAGAACAAGAAAAAAAAACCACGCAGTCAAAATTGAACTCCGAGTCTTCACTTTCAACCCTCCTCTCTGATCGCATCTTCAAGTGCGCCTGTTTCCTCACCATGTTCACAGGGACAAACCGAAGTACTTATATTAATTGCACATGGTGTACGGAACACCGCCTGCTCTCATGTCTCTGACTTCTGCAACAAGTTGCCGGCAAACAGGGATTCAACTCCCTGCGTCCAAATCTGTGTGATGTCCAGTCGATTTTTTTCTTTCTTCTAAACTCCATTCCTTTTTGCGCACAGATCGAGATTCGAATAGAATGCCTAAAATACAATTCATCTCCCACCTTCCATTGACAAACAAAAGAAGAAGAAGAAATCTCAGGCAGTCTGAGAGACACTTCTCTTCACTTTCCACGCTGCCCTCCCTCCTCTGACTTTCAGAATTTCATCTTACAATTGTGGCCTTTCACTCATGGGTATAGGTATCAACCAAGGTATATTAATCGGACATGGTGTATGGAACACTGCTGGCCCTTCTCCTTGGGTTTTATAAACAAGTGGCCGGCCGACCGGGGTTCGATTCCCCGTGTCCGAATGATCGGGCCCTTAGGCTTTACGCCATTCTTTTTCTTTTTTCTTCTACTAAACTAAATAATTTTACAGAGGTCGAACGTTGTGTATAAAATATTACAGCTCGTCTCTAACACTTTCCAAAAGGGAAAGAAAAAAAGCCACGCAGTCTAGATACACTTCACTTGGTCCACCCTCCCTTCTTTGACTTTGGCTGTCAGAATTTCATCTCCAAGTGGGCCCTTTCATACACCATGTTTAATAAGGAGTATGAACTAAGGTACATTAATCGGACATGGTGTATGGAACACCGCCAACTCCCTTACTTTGGTTTCCACCCAATGAGTTACCGGCCGTCCGGGGTTCGATTCCCCGTGTCCGAATAGATCATCCGCTGCCACCTTTGCCTTTTTTCTTCTGCTGAACTAAATCCTTTTTTGCGCAGAGGCCGAACATTAAACGGAATGCCTGAAATACAGTTCATCTCATTGCCGAACCTTTAGGTTTGGTTCCCTACTCCACTTTCGTTCTACCTGCGATACTGCCTTAAACGGTAGTCTTCTGGAATCTTCTCTGATCTCTGATCTCTCTCTTATCTTCTTGCTCCTCGCTATCTTCATCTTCGTCCAATCGGTGATTAGTTGCTGTGCTGCATAGCCTCCGCCACACAAAGTGTAGAACGCATTTCACTATACATGTTTTGCCTATATATGGTAATTCGGCTGTGCTCTCTGCTTTGTGCTGGTGTGCCTTTACTGGCTTCGTCCTCCGACCTTTATCCGACAATGATCCTTCCTCTTTCTGGGCAAAGTGGTCAAGGCTTTCATCGTTGTGCCTGCTTCTTGCTTTCACATAACATATTGTTTCTGCCTGCTGCTTGATCTATGTGAAGCGCCTCCCTTAGCCTGTGTTCCACCCCTCCTTCGTCCTGCCCCGACCCTTCTTTCTGCTCGATTTTCACCTTGTGCCGCTTCCTTAGCCTCGGTCTACGTGCGTCCGTCAGCTTGTTGCGTCCCCACCCCGCTCCTCGCTCGGGTACAGGTCGGATGGATATGCTCTGTAATACCATTCGAGCCGCTTCCGGCTCGCTGCTATCGTGTGCTTCTCCAGCTTCTCCGTCCTCTCGAGTTCTTGCCTCAGCTCCTCTGATATATGGTTTCGTATCGCTTCTATTCTAAACGGTCTTAGAATGCACAACCCCTTCAAAGACTTGATTCTCGATAGCATCACGTACGCGCTTTGAATGCTCTTGCAGCTGGCCAGGTCGATGCACGCTCTCTCGAGCGTCCTGCCTTGGGAATTATGCGACGTGAATGCGAAAGCGGGGTTGAGCGGCAGCTGCATCCTCCTCGCCGTGTACGCTGTGTCCGAATCCGGGAGTTTGAACTTGAAGGACTCGCTGTGGGTACTCATAAGTACCCTGTTAGGGTGTTCTGGATCTTCCCCTCTGAACCCGGGAAAGTCTACTTCAGCTGATATGGCGTACCGCTTTCCCCCTCGATCGATGTATTGTACCGACACGATTGTCCCTAGGCTTCCTTTTGAGAGCCCTAACTCGGTCGCCATGTTGTCGGTGCAGAATACTGGCATCCCCGTGACGTACGCTACTCTTCCCAGGAGGTCTTTCGCTTCCTTTACCGGGACCCTCCATGCGGCTTCTGCGGCTATTCCCACAAGCTCTCTCCGCTTGTGGCCTTTGCCCCTTGTGTCGATGGAGTGGTATATCGCCGCCTCCTGCCCTGTAATTTTTCCGAAAGTTTTGGCCATTTCCACGTTGTGTGCGTCTCTCGGCTCGTTCCTGTACGTTATCAATGGGCAGCCTTGGCCTGTTCTCCATTTAGACGGATCTACTAACTCTTTTGTGGCCTCCGTACACTTCTCGTTCGACAACACGTACGTGTCCAGCCTGTCTTTGTCTGCTTGGGTGCAGATCCCTTTGCGCAGACGACTCAGGATGTCTATAAGCAAGTCGTCTCCCTTTTGTCTCATTATCTCGGTTAGACATATTACATGGTCTATTTGGTGCCAGGCTTGGATGCCCTTCACCAGATACTGTGTTTCTTCGTTGCCCGCATTGAGTATGTTGCCTTTGAAACAGTTGACTAATTCTCTGCTGAATACTGTCGCTGCTTTCGGCGGAGGTAGTTGACACAGGTCTCCGCATCCAATCAGGTTCATCCCCCCAAATGGATGTGCTGTGATTCCTTTCGCCAGTGAACAGTACTCGCTGGCTATGCTCATGTCCGATGCTCCTAGAAAGTACGTTTCGTCGATAACAAGTGTTTCCACTCCCGTAAGCCTCCTTTCTAGTGCTTGCCTTATTTTCTGTCCGTTCGGTGTGTCCGCTTTCATGCTGCTTCTCCTCACGCACAGGGAGATCTCTGAGTGCGTGGTCGATCCTCCTATGTCGCTCGCGACCACACCAGTCGGACCGGTCAGTCTCATCTTGTCAGATGCGCCTATAAGCAGATGGTACTCCGTCCAAGCCTCAAATATCCTCGATTTGCCGGTGCCCCCTGGTCCTGTAACTAGCATCCTCAATGGGTTAAGCATCGTCTGTGGGCTCTCGCTCTGTTTCCCGACTTGGTCTGCGAGAAGCATAAACGCTAGCGTCTGTTTTTCGTTCAGCCCATGTTTCTTCACCAGCATGGCTGCAATCTTTTGCCATGTCCTCCAAGTTGACGTCTTAGTCTTGTCTGCGCCCCCCTCTGTGCCCCCTTCATCTACGTCGTACCTCCTCATTAGCTTGGCCAATCTCTCTTCTTCCTGCTTGCGAGTCGATGTCATTGGTCCGGGAACCGTGTCTGTCTCTCTTCGTGTTCGTTGTTCTTCAGCACCATCGATTGTGTTCGCTGTCACTCTGTCAAGGCGTGCTTTTAAGTACTCTTCCCTCCTCTTTGACAGCATTTTCTGGGACAAAGTTGCTTGCTCGGCGTCTCCTGCACCCGCTGGTCGCGCGTTTCCTGTTATCTTCAGCTCTGGATTGTCTGGATTTGTCGTCGTATCGTAGAATCCGGCCCCAGCTGTTGCTCTTCCGAGGAGAATTGTGTCCATGCTCTCGGTCTGGCCTAACCCTTCGCATGGCACGTCTAACATTGTCTGCATCGCGTTTTCCCATACGGGGTCGTAATCGTTGTCTCCTTCTTCCCCGTTCCCTCGATATTCTGGGACGCTCTGGGCAAGTTCCGCAGCACGCTTCCTTCTCGCTGCTGAAAAATTGTGCTTCGCGTCCTTGGACCTGTGTATTAATTGCATATTTTCCATTATCCTGCAGTGTCTTGCCTTTGCCGATCCCATCATGTCTTTGTACGCGCTGTCCCATGTTGCCTCTGCTTTCTTTAGCGGGGTCTCTATTTCTTGGCTCCACGCCTTGAACAACGCGAGCATCGCGATCTGGTGCATTGTCTTCTGGTCTTCTTTGTCCGCTCTTGGCACAGGTAAGCCTACCAGCACTGGTACCCTCTCTTGCTCCGTCTCAGATAGTCTCTTCATGCAATGCGTCGTGTACTGCGGGTGCGATGTGGCGAACCTGTGATGCTCCTTACGTCTGGTCTCAGACCGTGGCAACAGCTTCTTCTCGTACTTTGTGAACAAGTCCCATGCATTTACTTCTTTCAAGGCCGGTGGCCGGTGGAATATGTCGTTGAATAATGGGCTCCTCCTGCAGCCTTCGTTGCCTTCGGCTTCTGATTCCAAGTCGTTCAGCAGCGCGTGCTCGTTCAGAATTATGCTGTCTTCGTTTTCCTCTTCCTGCTCCTCCGCTGCTCCCTTTTGTGCGGTGCCCTCCTCGTGCTGTTCTTCTGTGGCCGCCTCGTCCTCTGCAGTGCGTTGTTCGTCATCCCCCGTGCCTTCGTCTGCTTCTATTGGCTTGAAAGCTCCCGGTGCTATCTCGCGGAGCATCCACGTCCAATAGAATTTTGGAAATCTTCTGTTCGTGTATTTGGTAGGCCAGCTCATCAGTTCTGTTGCTACCTGCTGTGCCGAAAGTTCCCTTTTTCCTACCAGCTGGTTCACTGTCTTT